GGGGAAGGTGAGCTGCCGGTCGGAGGGTCCCCCGAGCCTCCCGGAGCGATGGGAGGGGTCCCCCGCTGACCTCCGACCGCAGCCGGGAGAGCCTGAGCTGAAGAACGGGGTAACTCCCTCACAGAATTCCTCATTTTGCCGCTCCGTCCGCGCCCAGCGCCGTACGCGGCCTGTACGCTACCCGCCAGCCCGAGTGCTGCAGCGTGCTTCCTGCTCGGGTTTGGTAACAAAACACGGCGCTTCTCGCATAAAGTTACACAGAACAAATAGAAAACTGTACTTGCATTTGAAGGAAAACCGTATCTGATGGCAAAAGCGCGAGTGCTGGCCTCTAAACCAGTCTCTGACAGCTCTGCAGCTAATGGCACGGGGCCTTGAAATACGTAATAATGAATTCCTTCACTTTTTTAATGTTGGCGAAGGCTGTGATGCCACCCGAGCAGAAAGCGAGGGCTCTCCAAATCGGGAACCGCTTAGTAAAGCCTAGTGTTGCCATTGGAAAGCAGCTACTGATTTACTGCTAGGGATTTATAAAGATACATGCATAAAATGTAGGGTTTTTTTGTCAGAGGATGGGTAAAGTGTTGTTTACTTAACTAGAGGATGCAGGCATTTTCTCTAGGTAGAAATTGTTTTCATTTGTGCCTTTCTGCAATAAGCAATCATGAAGCCCAATTAAAATACATCTTCTGGTAAATTTTCAGTGACTTGCTGTAAAAGCAAGAAATACTAACCTACAACCTTCCCAGAAAGACAAGGTCAGGATTTTATTAATATGTGCATCATACTCCGTACAGCCAATGGGTTATTGGACAAAGTGGAGTAATGGTTTGGCCAGTGAAGACATTTTCATGGTCAGTTCTCGAGCTTTTAGTCCATCCTTAGCAGAGCGTTTTTCCACGCCTCAGTCTTAGGCCTCCTGGGACTAACACTGAGCTTTAAGTAGGACCTTATCTGTACTTCTTCCTTAGCGTAACCCCCGGGCAGCTCTGCAGAGCAGTCCCCACACCACACGCTGTGCCCACAGGTACGGGTGCAGAGGCCTGTCCTGGCAGCCGCACATCTGGGCACAGCTGGAGGGCCACTGTACTGCCACGCTCCTCCCAGGCAGGCAGGAGCAGCGAGTGGTGGGACATGGCATGCACACAGCCCCTTCAGAGATCAGCCTTTCCAAGCATGCCAGTGCCTGAAGTATCTTCCATTATGCCTGACCACAGGAAATCTGCTGAGAAATTTGTATTCAATTTGCATGATTAAAAATCAATTTTGTTCTGCTAAGGAACTTAAGGTAAATTTGTCCCTGGCAGAAAAAAAAAGAGAAGACAATTTTTAATTAAATAACTGTTCAAAAAGCAAGTTCTTTGTGTGTATGCCTTTATTTATTATGTCCTCTTGTGCTAGGGCGCATAGACGGGCACAGACACGGCTCTGAAAACTGGAGGCATCCTCGGGTTTGGTGCTCGTCCTCTAGCTCTCTGCTGCCCTCTGCTGTCCAGCAATCCTCCCTTTGCACCTCGCTCGGAAAAGGAAATCCACGCAGCCTTGGACAAGGAAAAGGAGAGCAAGTTCTTCGTTCCAGGAATGTGTTAGTCTTCTCCATGTGAAGACTACACTTGCGTGCCTCAGGGACTGCGGCAGCGTTTAGGGAACAGAAAGCTCAATACTGTATTGACACGAATATGGGCTGCCTGGCTCAGGAGGGAGGAGGTGGTCAACAAAGCAACTGCCATACCACTGACACAATCAACTTTTCAGTCTTTTCCCCCCGAAAAAAAAATATACACGGCGGAGATTTGCAGCCACAGGGTATCCCCCAGTCAGCAGGCCTGAATAGCACTTTCCTCCACTCTAGGAACCATCAGTAACTCCACGATATTCATCACAGGCAGAAACGTGCTCTGACAATATCTGCTACTAGCACAAAAATCCCTGACAATTGTCTTCCGGTGCTGTGCAAACCCTGAGCATATCCTACATGAAGCAGTGTATTTGCCATGGGCTGTTGCCTGTTTTGGCAGCACAAATATCACATTGCCTCCAAAGTGGCTTCATCTTTTACCAGCTTTTTGGCAGCAACAGGCTCTTTGCTAGGAGGAATTTGTGCAAACACAGAGCTCTGTTAGGGTTTCCTGATGAAGTCACTCCCCTGTTCTCCTGGGAAGAAGAGAGCGGCCGACCCTACCTCATTCCCTTTGCAGGATGCACTTCATAATTGGACAACTCTATGGGAAGGTAAGAAAGACAAGGCATCATCATTTCAAGTCTGCTCTTTTTCTGGCGTGGTGGAAATACCTAGCTGGCGTGCAGTGTATTGAAATTGCTTACAGGTCATTAGATTCTTCAGCTGCCCCAGCATGCTGGGTGAAGCAAAAGGGCGAGGTATAAAAAGGAACTTGGAGCAATGCTCTACCTGCTACCATTAACAGAGAAGTTTTGTTAAGGGATTTCCAGCAATATTCTGGAATGAGAATGTGCAGCTTGTGAGCCGACTCTTCTAAAGGAGGAACTTTGTTAATTCATAGTAAAACTATGTTTAATATTTCTACCAATGCTTAACAGTATTCCCTCATGCTCATTGTCGCTGCAAGGAGTCCTGGCCAGACCACCAGGACACGTGCCTGGGTGCCTGCAGGCTGGGCAGGCTCGGGGGGCATGGCTGGGTGCTTGCGAGTGTGCCCTGGTGAGGCTGTGAGTCAAACTCCGTTTGTTTCAAAATAAAATCACTTTCTCCACCTTATAGGAGGGGAAATTGATTTTATTTTGAAACAAAAGGAGCTGCATTGTTACAATGTTGCAAAGTTATAACAATGAAACACCAGGGAAAGGGCGCCATGTTTAACCCTTGAATGTGCATTTATGATTTTACAGTATTCGTTATCCTAAGTATCAAATACAAGGGGGTTAAATGAAAAAAAAATAGTTACATTAAGAGAAAAAAGTCATAAATTGCAGGGAAAGGTGTCGTTTGGGTAGTAAACACTGAAATGTTAAAATTAAATGTACAGGATTTTTTTCTGTCAACACTGCTCTGACTTTGAAAAATAATTAATATTGCAAACCATGAGTTTGAATATCTGCTCTGACTTTAGTCATCTTATATCAATGGAAAAAAAATACTGCTGTAGATGTAATTACAGACATAGCAGGTGTAATTGCATAGGTAGTTATAATAACTATATGTTGAATCATAGAATAACAGACGAAAAATAATTAATATTGCAAACCATGAGTTTGAATATCTGCTCTGACTTTAGTCATCTTATATCAATGGAAAAAAAATACTGCTGTAGATGTAATTACAGACATAGCAGGTGTAATTGCATAGGTAGTTATAATAACTATATGTTGAATCATAGAATAACAGACTGGTTTGGGCTGGAAAGGACCTTTAAAGGCCATCTAGTCCCCCCCCCGCCCTGGGCAGGGCCACCTCCCCCCAGCCCAGGTTGCTCCGAGCCCCGTCCAACCTGGCCTTGAACACCTCCAGGGATGGGGCAGCCACAG